GATTTGACTCGAACATTGGACTGGCCGCGATGTTACTCGGACATTGGACTGGCCGAGATGTGACTCGGACATGGACTAGCCGCGAGGCATGGCTCGGGCATTGGATTGGCCAAGATTTTACTCTCACATTGGACTGGCCGAGATGCGACTCAGACATTGGCTGGTCGTGAGGCGTGGCTCGAATGTTGGATTGGCCGATATACGACTCGGACATTGGACTGACCGAGATATGACTAGGACATTGGACTGGCCGAGATACGACTTAGATATTTGGCTGGCCGCGAGGCGTGGCTCGGGCATTAGACTAGCTGAGATGTGACTTGGACATTGTACTAGCTGCGAGGCGTGGCTTGGGCATTGGACTGGCCAAGATGTGACTCAGACATTGCTAGTCATAGGTGCCCGGCAAGCCAATCACGTGAGTGATGACACGTGTGACTTGATACAAAATCTTTTTGCTTATTATATTTTGGCATATATCACTTTATAACTATTGCATAAATGCATACATATATTGTGATGTCCTTGGATTTGTGCAATGGGAATCGGATCGTGATGAGATCACGATAATGAGATCGATTCACCTTTAAACACATATCTTAAATAATCCCGGTCATAGGTTACTCAAGAGGGACATCGTGATAACCGGATAGACTGGTGTGCTGTATACCCATCCATATGATGGATGCAGCTGGTCTCATAGCTGCTCGTGTAGGGACACTAGGGATATAGTACAAGTGCTCATTGGAGAATGAGTTCACTGATTGATCCGCTTACGGAATGCTAGATGGTTGATGATGCCTTATTGTCAGACAGCGATTCTGTGGTCCTAGTGGTGTATCTGGTCCTTAGACTTGAGACACCAAGGATGTCCTGTATGAGTGCTCCACTCTTTGATACCAGACTTATAGATTTGGTTGTCCCAGATCTAGTACAGCTGGTCATTAGGAGTGGTAGTCGACCTTACGAGGGCTATTGAGTGTCGATAGAGGATCATCCACTCTCGGCATCATGAGAGGAATATCCTATGTGTTCTTGCTCAGACAAATCCCTGGCCAGGGTCATTCGGGTTGAGAGAGAAAGAG